ATGGATGGATGGATGGATGGATGGATGGATGGATGGATGGATGGATGGATGGATGGATGGATGGATGGATGGTTGGATGGATGGATGGATGGATGGATGGATGGATAGATAGATGGATAGATAGATGGATAAATAAATGGATGGATGGATAGATGGATGGATGAATAGATGGATAGATAGATGGATGGATGAATGGATAACTGAATAGATAGATAGATAGTTAGATGGGTCGATGGATGGAAAGATGAATGGATGGATAAGCAGATGAACCGATAGACAGACAGACATGTAGATATCTCCGATATGCCGCCCAATTAACAGTTGTGTTACTAGTTAGACTTACTAGTGAATAATTACAGTCATACAACTAAGAGTAATATTGGACATGGTATAACGTCACTTACCGATAACATCACAACTGGGAAATTTACGGAACGATCAACTGCTTGCATACATGCACGGCTACTGGAACAAGACTGAAGTCGGCAACACCGCTTGTCTCTAATGCAGCACGCATGCATGTAGAAGGCGTGATTGTTGCTACGCGTGTGTTTACCTACGCTACAGAGGAACACGAGCCAGCAATTTATTCAACACACTTTGATTAGCCTTTTTTAAAGTTTGTGTGTGTGCGCGCGTGTGTGCATGTGTGCGAGTATGTATATTGAGCGCAAGTAATAACTGACGTGCTGCACACAAGGCAATGCCAACAATGGTGAGCGTCAGCATTCGTAATTATGTGCACATATTATTAATACTTTAATTTACATTCACAGAACTAAATGACTGGCAATTTTGTTGCACGTAGCCTAGCCATTTTAATCCAGCAAGCTGAATAGAAGGGTTTCGCATTTTGCAATCAAAAAATTACTGCCTTCATGGCTCTTGAATGTAAATTTTTCCAAGGGGAAAATATGAACACACGTAATATTCCTATCGCTATACGTATAAACACGGGAATCTCCAGCACACGGTGAATAATTACAACATAGCGCTTCAGGATGTGTTCATGACAAGCTATGAAGGACATTCTATATCTAATTACGCTAATACGATGAAGATCAATTTAAAGCTACGAAACGCGGCACCTTTACTTCGGGCATAATTTCACGTTTCACCTCTATCGTGTATACTTTACTCAGGCCTATGTTGAACCGCTTTGTTACTCTTTGCCGCGAAAGTCATTAAATCTTTAAAAACCTTTAGTAAGTCAATGTTTAATCTGTATCCTTATTCCGCCATCCTTAGAAACAACTTACAATGTCTTCACAAAGCGCCAGAAAGTGCCGGACTGTCCCCCTAGCTGCCCCACAAAAGTTGTTGCGATAAAATTAATTTTAACCATTTGGATTCTTATGTATAGAGTATCAATACTCCGTAATCTCTATATTAACCGTGGTAAGCTTTCTGATGTAAGCGAGTCTTAGACCATGTCTAATTTGATCACTTCCAATCACACCAAATCAGACATTCTGTCACTTATATCGCAATAATATATGCTTGATCAATTGTACATAGCAACACAGACCCTTACTGAAAATGTTGTCTGAAAAATCGACACACGCACTCGCGCACCAATTATGCCCTGGTTTCCGGTGCACCAAACATTGTACAATAAAATATATGATTACAACATTAATAAGAGATTCACCTATTGAAGGTCGCAAATTATAAAATAATTGATTTCGTAGTATGCCTTCGCTACGACGGTGAATTGATATTTTTCCGAACGCTCCCATCCGCACACCCACCCCACACTGCATACGAAGAAGTATAGCAGCATGCGTTGTTGGAACCTTTGTAACTGAGCCTTCCATTGCAGCAAATATGTGTTCGGGTGTTATATGGAGAAGTATTGCAGCATGCGTTGTTGGAACCTTTGTAACTGAGCCTTCCATTGCAGCAAATCTGTGATCGGTGTTATAAGGAGAAGCATTGCAGCATGCGTTGTCCGAACATTTTTAACTGAGCTTTCCATTGCAGCAAATGTGTATTCGGCTGTTGTACGCACTGCATGCTGAAATCAAATAATTAAAATTCTTCATTTACATGTGCCTATATACATGCTACAAAAATAGTTTTACAGCGGGTAATTATAATATAACAGGCAACGATTCTACTGCAGACACATTTGACGCTTATAGTACTACGGAATATATTTCTTTTATTGTATTCAAGTTGAGTATTATATAGCGAGCGATTATGCATTAAATCCTGATAAGAAAGCGTGTGTGAGTGCGCTTACCCGCTTCCGTGGACGCCACCAGGGAAACGATCAGTAGTACCGCCAAGATTACTCTCTTCATTTCGTTGTNCACGGTGTGACGGTATCGTAGCCCCGCCGTGACGCAGGGTGGGACGGTATCGTAGCCCCGCCGTGACGCACGGTGTGACGGTATCGTAGCCACGCCGTGACGCACGGTGTGACGGGATCGTAGCCCCGCCGTGACGCACGGTGTGACGGCATCGTAGCCACGTCGTGACGCACGGTGTGACGGTATCGTAGCCCCGCCGTGACGCACGGTGTGACGGTATCGTAGCCACGCCGTGACACATGATG